AAAATTAATATTGAATGAGCTGCCCCAGATTTCAATAGAAGTGATCATGAACACAGGGACAGCATTTTTCTTAAACTGAACAGGCACACAGCTTTTAGTAGCTGAATAGAGCACAAGGATTACTTTTTTGCATATGACATTTCTATTTATATATTCTAATAAGGAGTTGTTGACTCATGATCAGTTTGTGATATGCTGTCCTTTGCAGATCCTTTTCCCCTAGAATTTCCGTACTACTGATCAGTCCCTTCAGTGGCTATGTACACTGCAGTTGTCTTTTTTGAATCGTAGCATGTATTTTCAGACCACTTCCTTGTCTGATAAAATTCTTATGAATTCTGAATTCTAACAGTGTTCTTCAGCATACTAGCATAGCATTGTTTGCATATTTAATATTGACAATGAATGCAAGAAAGATTGTACCAAGATAAGGCAATTTTTTTCAGTAGCATACTGCAAGAAAGGTTGTACCAAGGTAAGGCAATTTTTTTCAGTAGCATACTATTGTATGGATTAGGCTCAATAATTTCAAATCTATGATTGAAATCTGATTTCAGCACATTAAGGCTTTTGCAGGACATCTATTTATATTCTTATATTTTCTTTCAAGTTGGCAATATGAAGAGGAAATAGTAATAAGGTTTTATTGAAAAGTACCTGCCTCTAATCTGGTATTTGTAACAGTAATCTGGAGAAAATCTGTCTCTACTGTCATGGAAGTTTAGGCAGCTGTAAGTATCAATTTTGTGTGTGTGTGTGTGTCTGTGTACAAGAGAGGGAGGAACATGTAACAAAAACTAGATAATGTCACTGACTGGCTGGCAAGAATCACTGACACAATGAGAAGCCCGAGATCCTCTACGTGCCAAGGCCTGAGGGCTTAATTTGATATACTCTCTGAAAGAGTGGGTTAATGCTGCAAGAAAGTGAAATAGTCAGGGGAGTAGAAAAATGCGTTTCTTGCACTAGTTTGTTGGGTGTTGAATCTACATATACAGTCCCAATTTCTTATATGAACGTTGTTGAGAAGCAGGCCACTAGGATTCTAAACAAGTTAGCAGAGTGGTAAATGCATTTTTCAAATGAAAAAAATGTTATCCTGTATATCTAAAACGTGCTGATGAACATCTTCCAAATTGTTCTTCGTAATGTCTTGCTTTCATTCATTTTATACAGAAATTTATACAGGCATTTTACTCTGATAGGTTTCCAAATCGTCTACCCTTCTTCAGGAATAACTCATGTTCATTCATGCTGCATAGAGTGGCTTTCTAAGCTTTAGTTTCCAGCCTTCTTCCCATATCTTCCCTCCTGCAGACATCTTGTTGCCTGCTGATTTTTTTTTCCATTTCATTCAGCTTAAAATAGCTGTGACCAAGCTATTATATTCTGATGATAGCCTTTGGTCATTGTTCATCTTAACAGCATTTCCCAAAGACTCTAGGAGTCTGGTGCATGATGTGCCATGAAAATAGACTGGGTATATTGCCAACATGATAGTAATAATTGCTGACATGATTCAATAATAAGATACTGAGTAATTTGAACTGTATCTATCCAACTGAATAATTTGAACTGTATCTATTTAAATCCCTGTAGACTTGAATTTAGCTAAAAATTCGTTCTTCCCAGCAGCCACAGGTATTGTTATGTAGCCATCATAAACATTTTAAAGGAGTGTTGACAGACACCTGGAAATAAAACTGTAAGCGTTGGTAGACATATGTATACTATAGTAAAAAAACTTTGGTTCCCATTTAGAGGAAAACAGTATTTTAACTGGAAAGGTTGTGCACAAGTGCTTCTAACATTAGTTTCTATTCAATAAAATGTCTCTGTGTTCATGTTATATTTTTAATATTTCAGGATTCTGGTGACAGCATATGGTATAAAAGTAATTTTGATTGATTTGATTTCCCACTTGAAATTGTGAGATGGAAATAGTTCTATTATATTCCATTTCAGTATGTTAGATTTGTTTATAATAATGTAAAGTATAAAAAGATTCCATTGTTCCTATCCTTTGTTTTATGAACTGTAAGAAAGAAAAAATTTGCCCGGATATATACTGTATCGCCAATTGCTATAGCAAAAGTTAGTGACTTATCTTTATAATAAAAATACTAACTATAAATTTGATGTATACTGCGTCAGAAGAAGTATTCTAAATTCATACAAACCTCACAAGTTCTAAAGAACAGCCCATTTGTAAAGTCAAGAAATCACCTTGCATAATGAATGGTTGTATTGACAAAAAGGTTGCATCAAAATTTGTTTTAGTTTAAACTTAGTTTAATTTAATTAATTAAATTTAGTTCATTTTACTTATTTTAGTTTTAATTTGAGTTCTCCATAGGTTCCTTCAAGATTTGTATATTGAGGTCTAGTGACTATCAGTAAGTATTCTGCAGCCTGAATTCTGAGATTTCATTCTAATGGGCAGTACCATGTAAAAAGTTTTTAGCCACAGACAGCTGAAAATTTTAATTTTTTAAAAAATTATTTTTAGTTATTGACTTGCTTTCAGGAGTCATAGGTGCCTAAGTTAAGTACACACTGGTTTTCTTTATTATTTAATACTACATGTTGATAAGGTATCTAACTAGTCCTTAGTGGTAGAATAAAAAAAAAGTAATAGACTTTATACATACTTGTCATAGTACATGACAGAAAAAGAATGTTTAAATTCTACCTGCATGGAATGACTGGATGCTGTTTGATCGCCATTTGATTCATTATAAGATTTTAGAGCATTTCATCTCTTTTGAAGAAATATTTGCGAGGAAGCAGACCTTTATTAAGAATTTTGTATCATTTATGTATAAAAATATAAATAGTAAAATAAAAACCTGGTTTATTGTTTCTTGCTCTTTTATATTGCAGTCAGTTGGATAAGACTGATCTTTTCCATTGAGATGTTCAACAGAGTTTCCCGTGTCATATTTGTTAAGCGTGCTTTTCTTTTTTATGCTTAGTAATTTTAGCCTTAATTCTTGTTTATGTTATCAATTTTATTATTTTTATTAACAGAAAATAATTTTAAAAATGTGAAAGAGTAAAAAGCAAGACAAAGCATAAAGCTATCACCTCAAATATAATTTTGAGTTTAAACCACAAATTTTATATTGCAAATTAAAGACTGAAGATCTGTAGTTGAAAAGGTATATAATACTAACACAGTTGCTTTCATGGCCAGTTAAATGTAATAAGTAGTTTTGTTAAATACTGTGCTTGTTTTACAGTGTGTTTTTAAGGTGACTTCAGATTTACTGCTGGGAAAATCTTTAACGTTCAAAGTAAATTGTTCTTTTGGGGAGTTTTTGATGTCCAATGGGGGCAAAATACTATGATAAACAAAATAGCTAAATTCCCTAAGGCAAACTTACTTCATTACCTCATTTATGGATCAGTACGCCGAGTTTAAAAAGAAAGGTGATTGCTCTGGAGCAATTCAAATGGCAGAAAATCTTTTCATAGTTGAACTGACCTAATAATTAAGCTGAGAGACAACAAACTTTGGTAGAGTAACAGTAGGAAAAGGAAAAAAGCCAAGTTAAATATGTTCTATTTGTTGTACATAATAGTCCTAGTTCTTCTATATAACTACCAGAAATTGGGTTGTTTCCAATACAAATCTCTGTTTTTCCAATACAAATCCAGTATTTTCAGATTGTTTACTTTGGACTTTATCTTACAAATTGATTAGAACGCAAGCTGATCATACTGCTGTAAGAAATAACCTGTATTGTTTGCATATCTATTCAAGCTTCTTTGTATGGTATAAAGTTGCAGTATATTACACTACTGTATTTGCCATACTGAGCTACACATGCATGACTTGGATGCATATTAATTAATGCTGTAAACTATTAACTCTGACCTAATACTCAGGTTGGAATGATAAGTAGGGAGTGCTACGTTGCCACTTCTGGCCAGCACTATGTAGGAATTTTTTAAGTGTAAATTGCTGCGCCTGCAGGAATTTGGGAAAATCACAGCTCATTAGCTGCTTCTGTTGAAATGCTGGCTTCCCTTTGTGCAGAGATCCTGAAAGAACCATGGAAAATGCTCTTTCAGCAGTCATTGCCTTGCAAAGAAACAAGATAACAGCTAGCTGCCTGATAGTATCATGGCATAACAGAAAATAACTTATAGGGACTTAATCATCTGCACTAGCAGTATTAGATTGGATTATTTAAAGGCAATATTTCTGTGTTAAATGTTCTGTATTTTTCTGATATCTGGTAAGAAAAGTGGGGTTTTTTTCTTCCTTACTTACATATCTTCTTGAAAGATTGTTATTTCCTTCTACCTCAGTGAAATCCTCTTCATCCTCTCGGTTCTAAGACTTATTTTCCTGAATTGTAGTTTAAAATTTATCGGGTAGAAATGAAGTTTTAATCTAATAGTAAAGATAAATCTGAGGGAGAACTTATGTGTACCTCTGTGAATTTAATTGTTGAGAACACTTTTAATAGGTTGAGAAAGTGTTTTAATTTGTTTATTCAATGTTTTATCTGGGAGGAATTTCAACTTCTGTTGTGTTTAATCTATCTTTTATTTCCTAACATGTTAACTATATTTATGGCGTATTTATGAAATGAAATAGTCAATAAAATCATGTCATTAAGTACAATACTATTTGAAAAAGGTACCTTTTTTCCATAATGCACTATTAATTATGGCATTCAGCAATTACAAACCAGTAAGTCTGCTTAAAGACAAGTTACAAGTTAGAATTTGCTAAATTGATGTTCTGGGTATTTACTCATAGAATATGTTGTTGAAACACACACTGCTTACATTTCTTTAAGGAGTAGTAATTGTCCAATTATGTAATAGCTTGCAACAAAGCCATTTAGAACTGGGAAAGTGAAGTATTTCTGTCATTATGGTTTGCTTAAAGTAAGAACATAGTCTAAATGTGAAGATTTTTAATTGCTACAAAATAAACACTTGAGAAAAATATTTGCACTAAGGTTTTTTTTGTTGTTCTGCAGTCTCAGTTTGAACTCAGGGTATTCCATATTCGTGGAGAACATGCTGTATCAACTGCTCAGCTTGAGGAAACCATTGCACATCTGAAAAAAGAACTCGATAATAAATTAAACAGAAGAAATGAAAAAGCAAAGGATATTGGTGTTTCAACTGAAGATGATAACCCACCAAAGACGTACCGAAATGTATGTATACAGACTGACAGAGAAACTTTCATAAAGCCTAGTGAAGAAGAAAACAGAGCTGTGAAAAATAACCAAATAGTACCCAAAAAGCTTAATATTTCTTCTTTGTCACATAGTATTTCTGCCCAAAGTGAAAATAAGGACAATTACAATGCACAGTCTTCAGAAAGTGTCTTATCTTGTCAACCAAAACAAGTGCTGCCTCCTACCCCACCACCACCGCCACCACCACCACCTCCTCCTCCCCTTCCTGATTCTTCACTGCCAGGTTTAGTTCCTCCACCACCACCTTTGCCAATGGGTCCGACTTCACTGACATCTCAGTTTGGATCTGGTCCACTGCCGCCTCCAATTTCTGAAGGCTGTAGGAATTTTCAAGCACCACCACCACCGCCACCACCACCGCTTCCAGGGTTGGGACCTCCTGTTCCACCTCCAGTGCCTGGATCTGGGTTACCTCCACCCCCTCCACCTCCTGGGCCTGGGTTCTTTTTTAATAGCACTTTATCTTCAAACCAAGGTCCTCGAAAACCTGCCATTGAACCTAGCCGTCCCATGAAGCCTTTGTATTGGACACGGATACAATTACAAGGCAACAGGTAAAATATATTTATTTGGACTTGGAGTTGCTATTTATAGGCTATGATACAAGGGTATGTATACTATTTAAGACTTAATAACAAAAAGTTGACAGTCTAGGAATGTATAACAAAATCAGTGTAGAGGCATAGAATTTACATGTTTTAAGAAAAAAATTGAATCAGTTCTAGATGTCTAAAAATAGATTGTAAGAAATTATTTTAAAATATTAAATATAAATTAAAATTATATGCATGATAAATGAAAATTATGTGCATTATAACAAAAAGAAATTTTATAGGTTTTTTTCCCCAAAATCCAAGTACTCCATGGACAACTCTAGTGACAGGGTGGTTCCTAGACTTAGCAATAAAAAGAAAAAAGGTAGCCAAGATTAAAAAGAGTTTGTTTGGGTTTTTTTTTAAATCTTAATTAGAATTAGAATTGAAATGTTAAAGTTTGGTCAGGTGAGAACTTTTAGTTTCATTTTTGCTTTCCAGTCACTTCAGGTGATACCATCTTCAGAGTACTATGATGTGTCATCCTCCATGATTCCAATTCTAGAAAGAGTTAAACTGAAACCTAACCTCTGTGCATAATTCTGTCAGAGCAGGAAAAGTAAACCACATGTGTGAATATATGCATGTCAGGAACCTGTAGCCTGAAGCTTCCATTATGGAGGAGTCTCAGTACTGATAGAGACATCTATAGTTTAAAAAAGTAAATATAAAAATAAAAAAATTACCAATCTTATTGTGATTTAGTGCTGGGATAAAACACTAGATATGCTTAAGGGAAGGGATGCCATCCAGAGGGACCTTGACGGACTTGAGGAGTGGGCCCATGCAAACCTCATGAATTTCAACAAGGCCAAGTGGGAGCTACTGCACCTGTGTTGGGGCAATGCCCAATATCAATACAGACTAGGAGATGAATGGATTGAGAGCAGCCCTACAGAGAAGAACTTGGGGATACTGGTGGATGAAAAATTGGACATGAGCTGGCAAAGTGAGCTTGAAGCCCAGAAAGCCAACCGTATCCTGGGCTGCACTAAAAGAAGCATGGCCAGCAGGTCAAGGGAGGTGATTCTGCCCCTCTACTCTGCTCTGGTGAGACCCCACCTGGAATACTGCATCCAGCTCTGGGGCTCCCAGTACAAGAAAGACATGGACTTGTTAGAGTGGGTCCAGAGGAGGTCCATGAAAATGATCAGAGGGCTGGAACACCTCTCCTATGAAGAACAGCTGAGAGAGTTGGGGTTGTTCAGCCTGGAGGAGAGATGGCTCGGGGGGGACCTTGTTATGGACTTTCAATATATATAAAGGGGGCTTATGAGAAAGATGGAGAAAGACTTTTTACCAGGGCCTGTAGTGACAGGAAAATGGGCAATGGTTTTAAACTGAAAGGAGGTAGATTTAGATGGCATATAAAGAAGATATTTTTTACAACGAGGTTGGTGAGACACTGGAACAGGTTGCCCAGAGAAGCTGTGAATGCCTCATCATGGGAAGTCTTCAAGGTCAGGCTGGATGGGATTTTGAGCAACCTGATCTAGTGGAAGATATCCCTGCCCATGGCATTGGGGCGGGACTAAGTGATCTTTAAAGGTCCCTTCTGACCAAACCATTCTATGATTCTATGAAAGTGGTCTAAGTATATACCATTGTAGCAAATCTAAAGTTACTATGAAACATTGTTTTATTGATTTGTTTATAAGGGATCATTTGGTGAAGAGGCATAAATAAAAAAATTTGTGGACAGTCTTTTTGAAATGATCCCTCAACTTTTGTTTATGCTATCCATTTATTCAGCTGGCAGAAGAAAAGAAGTCCTCCCATTTACACTTTCTGGGCCAGCATGCATACCTCACTGCCACAGTGGTATGTGGTTTTAGTGCCGCTCAGCTGCTTTTTTGGATTTTGGCTGATTCTAACTTTGCTTCAAGAGTTTATCAATGTAACGTGGAGCTCTATTAAGAGGGCTGGCTCAAAAAGTATTTTTTGGGGATGCTTAAGCAACACAGACTATTTCTAGTTTAACAAGGAGTTGCTAGAATCACGAAATAAAATTCAGATCCTGTGTTATGCAAGTAATGAAATGACATGATTAGGGTCTTAAAATTCAAATCATTATTATCTGTGTTCAAAATTGCTTTAGCATAAGTGCAGTTACAACGATGCTAAGTTTATTTTAACCATTTTAATGAATTACATTATATTCTTATATATGACATAGTCATAACATAATAATATATTATATATGCTACACTATATATATACACACACTATATTGCATACTGTATTATATACTGTGACTATATTATATATATTATATATTACAAATTATTATATTACAGGTTATTATTATAGATTACTTATAGTAAGTCACTATAAATTATTTATTTAAGTATTACAAATTATTTACAATCATTTTTAATCTTCTATTTTAAGTTATTTTTAGGATTATATTTAAACACTGTTAAAGTAAATATCTGCATTTAAATGTATTTAAATATGAGTTTTATTTTAGTTTACAGCTTTTTGTTTGAATTTATTTTGATAAGAAAGAATTATTATTCTGGTATAATAAAACATTGTAAGGTGTTAATATTTTATATAAAATGTTTGACAGGGACAAACAGTTAATGAAATGTCAATTGTATTCTTTTAGTGATTCAGAATTAAAGGCATTGAAATATTTTGGAGCAGGAAGTTTGAGTATTTTGGTTTTACTTTCCCAAAATTACTAGTGAAAAATTGTTTCATAGTGAATAAATAGTTGGTCCAGAAATAAACCTTATTGTAATTCTTCCTGTTGATTCACTGAAATCAAAATGTTTGTTCTGAAATATTGCTAGTTCATCATGCTTTTGCTGAATGCAAGATAAGGTCTAAGTTATAGCTTTCTGATGAACTGCTGGTCACCAGGTGGAATGGTCCAGTATTTTCATGGTCTACACCAGAACTGGAAACTTCTTCAAGGGTCTGCTGCTCAGATCAGTAGCTATCCAGGACTTCAAAGTTCTTGTTACAGAGCCAGAAAGACTCCTTCATTCTTCAGTGTGGCTGACACTGTGACTAATATCAGGCAGAGTGAAGCTGTGGAGCTGTAAGCATGTCCTGTAACACAGAATATGCTGCATCAGCGAATGCTAGTGGAAAAAAATAGTTCCTTAAACATTCATGATAGTAAATGTACAATTGAGTATTAAGTAGAAAAAAAATCCTAAATTTGGAAAAAAGTTTAATTAATTTTGGTTCCCCTTAAGTTGGTAGGTAGTGCATTTTGTTGCATGTTACATCTAATAAAAGTATATTTGGTGACATCAGCCATTTGTATTTTATAGGGGTTTTCATCACTTTTTTTAATTGCAAATAATTTCACTGCCTTTTAGTGCCATCTGCTGGAAGAAATGGGCCCACCTTCTACAGATAAACAGTGAAGAGGAGCATTCAGTTTTGTCCCACATATTTTCCTGAAGCATTGAAATTTTGAAACACAGCTCATTCAGAATTGAAGTGCCATGTTTGCAGCACTACACAGTATTTTCCCCAAATCCAGATAAAAGTACAGGATTGTGTAAACAAGTTCCAAAGTGTTCCAAAACTAAATCTGGTCTTGGAAGGCAAAAAAAGAAGGAAAGATAATCCACATTTAAAATTTACAGTTCGCTGAGTGGAGCAGAATACTGGTTAGCCTCCCAAAATATAGGCCACATAATTACTCTAGTTTCTCAGAACTGCAGCAAGGATAAATATGAGCATACAACATCTGCAGCTAACATGAAGTGAATCAAGTCCTGTACAAATGACTCCAAATGCTCTTAAAATATGCTTGAATAAAGTTTGTTCACTATTTGTTGATATTGTTTATTTTTATAGGTCTAAATAGATTTCTGGGAATTTGTCAAAAAAGCTGCTGTTGAAATACTCCTAATCCTAGTTGAAGTGGCAGAAATCTCTCGAGATGTATTTGCACAAGCTGCAGTTGTAATATTTGGTTGTTGTACAAAAAACTGTACAATACAAATAATGCATTTTGATAGTCTAGCAAGCATGGATACTAAATAGCTAAACTTTTTGGTACAGCCTTCTGCAAAACACTTTGGCTCCTTACAAGAGCAAAGTATAGGGAAGGAATGCTGTTTGTATAGTAGCAGTGCATGTTGCTTTGAGTTTTAACCTATTACGGATTTTCATCTATTATGGTTAGATCTATTACAGTTTTTCATAAATGTTTATTGGAAATTTTATTATTACCTTTCCCTTTATAGGAAAACTGCCATGCCAACATTATGGGAATCACTAGAAGAACCTGATATACTTGATACTACTGAGTTTGAATATCTATTCTCCAAAGACACCACTCAGGAAAAAAGAAAACCATTATCAGAGACTTATGAAAAAAAAAACAAGGCCAAAAAGGTATTTATTGTTTCTTTGTATTTGCTTTTTTTGTGTTTAGTCACTGTTTAGTTTTACACTTTAAGAAAACTGCCTTTTTATTTATTGTTGAGTGAACAGATAATGGATGGGTTTGTAAATCTCATTTTAAAGGAAAAATAGGTGGATTGCTGATTCAACTCTTGCTTGAGAATAAGGGGTTATTATTTACCTTGAAAGATTTCTTGCCTTTGAAATTGAAAGTTCCACATCCCAGTGAGGCAGAAAAAATATTGTATAGGAGAACTGAATGAAAGTTCTAGTATGTATCTAAAAGTGCCAATATTTCAGGCCATATCTGCCCTTGAATGGATTTATAATTAAAGGCTGTCATTAAGTTACTCTAGCAAACCTCTCTTCCACTGATATTAATCTTATTGGAAAAATAAAGTATAAAACAAAATAAGACTGTTAGATGTTTTGATGTGTCAAGAAGGGATGGGACAATCATATCTTTAATGGCTGAAAGTTTATGCAGTAGCTATGTCATTACCATAGCACAGATATTGTCTGCCTCAGACATGATCTGTTACAGAGAGAGCTTGTACTTGTGAATTACTGTGTGCAGACAGGACAAAGAAATGGCATTAGTAGTATTTGCTGCAGGAAAAATTCTAGGCTGAATAATAATCGATACTATTTTCCTAAAACAATGTGGTTATATATTAGAAACCCGTTTAAATATATACTATATGGTAAATCTGTTTGAGTTTACCTGCTTAGAACCACAAGAGGGCACTTTATATGTAAGCTATGCTATCTACCTTTTTCAATTTTATAATCCCTACAATATAAAGTATACATACATAGATCAGTGCAATCAGATCTCTCAAAACATCTCTGGTCATAAACTTCCTGTATTGTGTCTTAGCACAATAGTTAATGAGAAGTGTAAATAAGGCTATAGAATTCATAAAAATTCAAACCTATGTGATGCAAAAAGTGAAAAATGAAAAACGGGGCCAGGATGGGGCCATGCTGCCATTTGTAAATACACCCTAAAGAAATTATTAATTGTTACAGTCCTTCAAAAGTTAGATTGAAGTTGTCCATGAACATCTCTGTGAAAAATATTTTGGCATATTTTACTTGACAAATGCTTCAAGTGCATATGGCATGTAGTACTCAGCTGTATCTGTAAATGCCATTAGTTCTCATTTCTGATGCCCTCTTTCTAAAATTTATTTTTGCATTTCATTAATTTACCTCTTTCAGAAAGAATTATTTTATAGGAAATACAGGTTTCTAAAGAACTTTGAAGAAGTAGGTAACTAACGTAACTTTATTGGAGAAATAATGTGCACAAACAGTTACCTTTTACCTATTACCTATTTCAAAATCTCAGCAATTAAGTGAATATACCTATTTCTCCAGGTGTATGACAGCAAGCCAGGTGGAGAATTAGGCTTGTATTCTGAAAGATGAAATTGCATTATTCTTTTTCCTTGCTGCTTTGTAAACTAACTTATTTGCTACAGCAGCACATTTTTTTAATGATCTCTCTTAATATTATCCAAAATAGAATTGGATAATAGTTAACTCTATACAATATAGGAAATAATGGTATAATAATGAGGACTATTTCTTGTGAGAAACCCATGTATTTTCTTACAGAGATGTCTTCTTTATTTATGTCACTGTTTGAATTATTCTGTTTTGTTGTTAAATGTAAACTTATTATTTTAAGACTAGGGATACATTTACTGAAATTAATGAAAATTCCTTTAAAGTACTGTGTGAAAATACAAAAATAAATCCTCTAAGAGATAAATGAAGAGTTATATCTATTACTATGTCTTTAGTTTGGTAAAACTCATGGGATTATGATAATGGTGTTACAAACCATGGGAATTGCAGGGCTTTCTGTGAAAATTTCAAAAACTCATGGTCAACAATATTAAACTTTCCATTCTTTGGTCAATTTAAAAATTAAAAATAAATCAGCTTTTAGAATTCAAATGAAATTTGAATTTAATTGAGTATAGAAGCATTTTCTTATTGTATATTCTGTCTTTCTACCTTTCTCTGTTAAATGACTCATAGCAGTAGCTGAATATTTTTACAGACAGTTGTTCATCTTAGATGGTCCTGTGTTATTCTTTGTCTCTCTGAAAGCCCAGATGTCTGCAGGCTGGCTCCAATGGATCAATCTTGGTGGGCTGCAAGCGATACAGTAGTAGAGAGGCATTTTATTTCGTTACAGGAGGGTTTATTAGTAGATAGTTACAGAAAGCTCCTGTAGATTAATGTAAATCTATCAGTTCTGCTGGCTTCATTTATGCTTTCTCATTCCTTTTCTCGGCTCTCAACTTTTCTTGTCTTTTTTTCTGACAATTATATCTATCTACTCGGGTTTTAACAACAATCTTTTTCTTTGCTTCAATACAGAAATTTGTGCTTGTCTGGTCTTAAGAATGCTACAAGTGTCATGGTGTATGGAATTGTATAGTCTGGTTAAAGATGTTTTTCTACAGACATTAAGAACGACATATGAGTCTTATGAGGTTCATCATATATTATAATTTTTAGCTGATGCTGTGTCATTTTGTATTTCTTTGTAAATTCTTTTCTCATATTCTATAAAAAAGCCTTCCAGAGCAAGATATAGGTACAGCGATAGAATCTAGAGTAGCAGTTTATGTTTAGAATAGGTAATGTTTGGAATAGTTTATGTTTGGAATAGTATTTTTTTTAATAATACATGTTAGTGCTGACCTATTCACTGCATTAGATCTCCTCTGCACAAACTTTGTCCTATTTCATACCATCTTATACAAACTAAGTTGGACTTGCTTGGTATTTAGAGAAAGAACAGACCAATAGGTGGTGCAGGATTGCTTATTAAAACATGATTACTTAATACTTTTCTCCTTGAATGAGAATTACGTCAGTACCTTACGATCAAGTTCCTCATGCAATTGGAAGCAAGATTCTATCTTTCAAATTAGAGGGGAATTGTTTCTCATTTAACTGGGTCTTCTTTATAAAACTAAGGAGACTTTAACAATTAGTGGCCTGTTGAATTATGACTTCTTTACCATCTATTTACATTTTTATTGCAGTTCCAAATAAAATAATATTATTCAATTTATTCTCAGAATTATTATTTTGGTGAAACCAGACAGAATAATCTGTATGTTTAGGCTGTGAAATGAATGCTTCTGTGGAAAGCATCACATTAAGCCTATAGAAATTTCACTTTGTTCTGTTCTTACCCATTTGTCCACATGCTAGACACCTTATGGCAACACAAATTAAAATATTCACTGTATGCTGTGTTTTTGTTGCTTACAGCTGATAGACATCTACCATTTTCAGCCAGAAATATCTAAATCTTGTCCTACATAAATGGAATGGATGATCTGTTTTCCAGTACCATCTGACAAGTTATACTCAGAAGGGAAACTTCTGAGTATATACTTATATTCATATATATATTTATACTCATATATATATATATATAAAATGTACTTACAATATCATATATAATTTATAAAATAAATATTTATAATATAGAAAATATTTATACTCCTACATATACTCAGTGTCAAAATAGGAGAATACATTGAGGATTCTGTGGGCATCTTATGCTGGGTCTGGTTACCTCGGTATTTTCACTTGTGATCTGGATAATGGAATATTAACTCTGCAGCCACCACCTACTTGCAAGAGGCTTCAAATGTACTGGAGTAGACCCTTTAGAAAGCTTTTAAGTATCAGAGATATGGTCTGAAAGATAGGGTTAAGCACAAAGCTAATACAGTTAACCACAAGGCTAATACAGTTAAGGATATTCAGCTACCAAAAAATAAGATGGGGTACAACTGGCTAACTGACTAGGTGATAGTTTAGCAGAAAGGATCTTGGGATTATAATGGCTCACAAGAGGAACGTGAATTGTCAAATTGTGGTACTATTAAAAAGGGAAAACAAAACTCTGATAGATCAATAGAAGTATTGCTTGCAAGACAATCTACAATCTCTGTCTCAGTTAAGAACTGCATCTAGCTTTAGGCACTACAGCCCTTCATTAAAAATGTTCACTAACTGTAAAGAGTCAAGAAGAGTGAGAATGATGAAAAGCGTAAAAGTAGTCTCCGAGAAAAGAATGGAATTATTATGATTGTTTAGTCTAGAAAAAAGAAGGTTGATTGGGACACACAGTCAGTGTCATCAGACAATTATGAAAATTATGAAAAGCTTTCTAAGAGTAAGGATACCAAAGGAATGCAGAACAATTTTGGCTAGGGAAATTGTGTTTCTGTATTGGGAGATCTTTAAGAAAATTTGTTTTGAATGATACACATATAGTTGATACTGTCTTGAAGTGCAGAAATGCTTTGGATGACAATTTGAGTGCCTTTGCAACATCATGATTCTGTTACTCATTTAAAAGGCATAAAGTCCACTTTCTGTCCATTGTCCTGTTGATGGAAACAGCTGCCTATCCTTTTTTCCAGAGTGGAAGCACTTTCATGATTCCCAAATTTGTTGCTTTCGTGCCTGCCAGAAAATGGCTTGTTGATTGAGTTACACTAGTTTCTAGAGGCTATCATCTTGACATGAGGATGAAATTATTAGAATTTGAAATGCAGTTATTAAAAAGGTATTCTAACAAGCATGGGGGAAAAAAAGGAAGGGAAGTTAAGAACCTTCCAGCAGCAATGATAATACAACTTCTTAAAGGACTGCATAGAGGGTGATTTTATTTATTTTTTGACATATATTAAATTATTTTGGAAAAATATAGTACATTCACTTGATAGTGATACAATGTAAAAATAATATACTTTAAATGAAAGTCAGATGTACCTTTCTGGTACACTTATGTATTCTTGAAGTTTGTTATGGTAATGCTTAAGTGGGCTTAGAAGCTCTGCAAAGTGTGTAGCTGCTCATGCTTCTTCAATCATGCACTCTTTTGGAAAATTTAGCAGCTTTGGAAGAAACTCTTATTTTTTTTCCAACTCTACATCCTCTGA